CCTCCCATTTAGCTTTAATAGTTTTAAGTCAAGAACATGACATTTAAAAGAGGAGGTATAGTGATATTCTCTAATTTATGTCAAATCTTTAACGTGTTCTGCATCAAAATGCTGCCACAAAATTACTTGGCCCAGTGCCCAAGGCAACATTCCTTACACTGGTGCCTTGACTCACTGCCAGAAGGAGGCAAAGGAGGCATTTCCCTCAGACAAGGCTGCTAATGAAAACTGTCAAAGTCCTTTCAACACCCCTGGTTTTGTGCTGCTTGTCATCTCAATTGTGTGGCTTGCTAGACTCCTGTTCTCAGCAATGTATTCCTTAGCAATCTGCTCGTGCCCTAACAATAACACTGAAATCTTTGCCTCTCATTGAAAAGAGCACTCTGAACACAAGAGACTTCACCTTTTAGACAAAACAAAAAATGTTTAAAAATTACAACCAAAAATCCCCAAACCAAAACTCCTCACGCTCACCACCAAGAAAATAATGGAAATCTTTTCTTCCTCCCAGTCTGTAAGAACTGTCACCTCCCTCCCACCCAGCAAAGTTCAGGTTGGGAAGGTTGTGGCAAGGGAGCTGGAGTTCTGGCAATCCTCTCAGTCCTGCTGCACAGCTGTGTGGCTGAAAACACCTCACTTCAGGTGGGAACACTTCCTGAGAGCCCCACCACGTGAATGTTATAGAAGTTGTGTGAATAAGAGCAGTTATGAACAGCTTTTTCACAACAAGGAAGCAATTGGCCTTAGACTGATGGCAAATATTTCTGAATCAGCTGGAAGAAATATCAGATGACATCTGTAGCCTCTGCTTCCCTGGAGGAACGAGATATGGTGGAATTCAGGTGTGCTGTGAAGAACTCATCACTTCTCCTGACATCTGGATAAAAAGACAACTCTGTTTACCAGAGCAAGCGAGTGCACCATTCACACAAAGAGTGTTTGTCAGACTGTCTCGAGGAGAAAAAGCATTGCTGTGCTCATATTCAATCAAATTGGAGGCATGAAAGCCACAGGAGGATGGTGGCTGGAGGCTGAGCATCTGTCTCACACATAATCTGAACACCATGGAATAAAGAAAAAAAGGTGGGGGGGAGGGAGAGGAAGAAAAGTGGAACAAAAAGATTCCTCTGACCTGAAAACTCTATCAGAAACAGATACTACTACAGTCATTTCTTCCCAATCCACCTTGTCACTATCACACTGCGCCTTTTTCCACTTCTGCAGAATGAATCAAGCACAGCTATTCATGCCCCTCCTTGGTACCCAAGCTTTCCAAAAGCTCACATCTGCTCACAACCTGCACTAAGGAGAGGGGTGAGAATAAATCCAAGGCACCTCCACAGGAGACTCCCTTCAACTCACCAGTGTTTCTTGTCAGTTCCCTGCCAGCCTTCCTGACAGGAGCCCTGGAAATACCAGCTATGATGGCTGAATTGATAAATGGAAAACATTTGGGGTTTTTACAGAAGCCAGCTGATTTCAGAGCTACTGACCATACAAGACAGGCCATGGCTGATGACAAGAATTTAAAAAAATATTTGGAAGAGAACAATTGAAAAAAACCAGTCAAATTCCCAGAACACATTCAGATCATTGCTGGATAAGATTCTGGTTTACACTTAATATAAGGTATCCCAGCAAATAATATAAATGAAGAACAGTGATGGATAAATTTTTGTTCCTGTCACTCCAGAGGATCTCACTGTGAATTGAGAACATTTCATATGTTTAAACCATTGAAAGAAACAAAGAGTGATTTGGGATAAGTTATGAAACATACATTTTATTTTATTTTTTTTAAAATCACATAAAAAAAATTAATACAGAGCAGGAATAGATAACATTAAAAAGTCCCACAAATTTTAGGAAGGTGCTGCACACATAACAAGATCTCATCAAGTTAACTGAGACAGACTGTCCAGTGAGGTGTAAATTGCCCTTTATCCCTTACCACACACACAGTTAACTCCTTTCTCCATGAAAATAAAGTCAGCATTGGAAGAAATCTTATTTTGCCACAAGTGACTGAAGGAAAGCAAGATGATATAACCAAGGCAATCATTTGCATATTACAGTGCTGCTCCACCTCAACCCACTCACCACATTTCATCACTTCACTTCCAATTCCACAGTCTAGAAAAGCAAAAAGAAATCACATCACTATTTCTGTTTTTACATTAGTGGAAAAAACACGAAAAGTGTAAAATCATCAAAATATGGATCAATTTTCCCTCGTTTTTCCTATGGTGTAAGGGTGCACTCAGTTTTCCTATTAATTTATGCTTTCCTGTTTCTCTCCTCATATGCACCCTAAGTTTTTGTTTGCCGATCTAAAAAGTGGAATTTGCGCAGCCTAACACTGCTGCAAGTCTTGGATGCCACAGAAGGCTTAGAAAAAAGTAAAAGCTCAAAAGCTCTCCAAGCAGCCTACAGCTGGAAGAGAAAAGGAATTCTAGAGTGGTCCATGTATTCCTTCTGTGATCTTTTCAAAACCAAAAGGAACATGAGAGAATCAGAGGCTGCAATTTCCTCTCCCTGCTTTTCATTTAAAGTATTCCTTTACTTGTCACCCTCTGTCTGAAGAAGGGAGACAACCTCCCACCACCTCCCCCCAAAAACAAAGCATCTGCTCAAACATTTAAGCCTTTTTCTATCAAGATCTTAGCAAAGCTACCTTTGCTGTAATATGATGGCAAGATATTTGAAAATTAAGAGCATAGAGTACTACTCTTGTTGCCAGGTTGGTTATCAACATTCAGTCCTTGTCTAGACCAATCCTACATAACCAGTAGAATTTAATAACATTTTCAAGTTACAAAAAAATACATTTTCAAATACAAATTACTTGCAACACACACATTTACAGTCCCAAGTATCAGCATATTTCGTTTACTAGATACCACACATACAAACATATTTCTTGGAACCTCTTTCTGGCATTACTATAATTATTCTCAAATAATAAGGAAAATTCACACCTTCCTTCACTCCTTCAGCTCTCAGCACCATGAAGAAAGGCCTGTGTCCCCTTGACTCACATTTAGAAGGATATTCTTTTCAATTCTAAGAGTTAACACTGAACTTACACTTCAGAAGACCACAGGAAAAAAACCCAGTGCATGTTTTTTTAATACTTACCAAGCCACACAAAAAAAATCATCTTTTTATGCCCTCAAATTCACTCCTAACTTCTTGGGGTTTTTTATGTTTTCTGATAACTCTTCATTTAAAACAACTGTTTATAGGCACCTTCATGCTCAAAATCAGAGTTCTTTCTGCAACTTGCTCGAAGACAAGCTTAGATTCATCACAGAGATCAAATCCACCTGAGAAATCAAAAAACTTCAGAGAGCAGTCACCTTGTTTGGGTTTTTTTTTAATTTATTTTGGCAGCATGAGTCCATGTGTCAGCAATCTCAGTCAACTGTCTTGCTCCAGCAGTTATCCTGATTGTTCCATATCCACCTCAGGCTGAAATGGCTGTGGAGAGGAGGGACTGAAGAGTTGATTGTGATCTGCAATGGCAGAAAAATTTGAATAAAGGGAGTCAATTTCTATTGCAAGCAAGTTTTCCCCTCTAGTGCTTGCTACTGCCCAGTTTTCTTGCTTTTCCTGGGAAGATTTTTTTGGAGGATCCACCTTGGAGAGGGGTTTTATTCAGTCCTCCATCATAAGCATCAGATAAGTTTATAAGAGTAGTTCCCATTTCTATGTTTTCATCAGTTCTTAATCAATAGAAACACTTATAGGGAAATTCAAAATTTGGGCTGTTCCACATCAAAATTGTAGAAAGACATGGAGACTGCTTCCTTTTTTTTTTAATTCATTTTATTTTATTAGAAATAAGAAAATATTCCTATTATCCATAAGAAAATTTAGATTCTTCTCCTAGTAATCAATTAGCTCATGGTCAATAAGTAACTTTTGATCATGGGTAATAAGTAACTTTTAATTTTGTATCTGAAAATTGAAGAAATGTAAGAAATGTTTGAAGCAAATTCATCAGAGTGTCTCAGATCTCAAAAGATTTTGTGACTTTGACACCTGGGTGCTAAAGTGATTTTTTTAAAATGAGTCTGGATTAATGAAAAAAATAAACTAAAAATCTTTCTCTTATTTCTTTTAAAGGTATTATTCCATTTGAATTGCATCATTTCATATACCATTTTCTCAAGAAACAGCAAATAACTTCCAGAAACCTTTCTAGGCTTTGGTTTTTGTTTTGTTTTGTTTTTGTTCCTAATTGCAACTTTAAACTTATGCATCAATTTTTGCTTGAACATCACTTCAGAAGGATAAGACATAGTTTCCACTTTTCAGGACTACTGCAGCAAATAGAGGAAGCTGATCTGTTACATCTAATGATTTGTCAAGTGGGAGCACAGTTATTTGGGGGAAAAAAGGAAGCTTTCATTCTGCTCTTAATGTAAGGCAGAACTGCTACCAGAATAGCGAAGAGATTCTTTTCCTTTGATACCTCAGTAACAGTTAATTATCAATACTTTAGAAATGTAAGCTGAATTATTAAGGATAATGCATTCCTGAGGGGTTTTCAGTGACTCCAGGAAACTTGCACTGTGGCTTGGATTGTATAACTGCATTTGTTGGTGTGTATGTAGAGAGGGACAATTTAATAATTAGTATAAATCATACAAATTACATCCTATTTCTTACAGAGATATTCTGTGGCATAACCCGTTCTTTGCTGTGAGATGGTTGATGAATACAAACTCCTCAAATTGCCTTTTCTATGTTCAAAACTGCCAAGTGCTTAACAAAGGAGAAAGCAAAGACAGTTTGGGTCTCTACAAACCTTCCCCAAATTATATTCTGTGCAACTCCATTCCTACAGGCATCATTAAGCTGGGCTCAGGACTTGAGCTGTTTCACAGATGATTGTGTCCTCCCTCTGTACTCCAGCTGCAAATTGTCTGCCACTCATGGGGACTTGAAAGCTGAATGGGGAACCAGCAAACTGCTTCTGAACCAGAGCACAGCCCTGTCTTCATGTCCAGCTCTGGGGGAGAAAGGATGGGGGCAGCTTTGTCTCATGGCACAGGTTCTCTTCTGGCTATCTTTACCTGGCTGGATCTCCTTGCCTGCTGGCAGTGAATGTGGCACTTAGGGACAGGAAATACTGGTGGACATGGCTGTGCTGGGTTAATGTTTGTACTCAAAGGTCTTAAAACGCTTCTCCAGCCTAAATTAATCTATGATTCTGTGAAGTCATTCTTGCTTATGAACCAAACTGAGCTGAAGTTATGACAAAATATGTAAACTGCTCTGCATGTGGGAAATCTTAAAATTCTACCTCTGTTTTTCTGCAGCAGTGAAGAGAAGCTCGGTTTCCTGCACACAAAGGAGGCTGTGCTGCTCTTACTCAGCTGAGTGAGAGTGGTAAGCACACCACGAGGTTCACATCCCAGACAGCAAAGTACCACTGAATGATTAAAGGAAATTCAAAGAAAAAGGTGATCCTTGGCTATGGAGTATTTTAGACTGTTGGAACTAGAAGGTTTTTAATATATTGAACTTCAACTTTTTGCAGGTCAGATGGAGACAGTGCTTCATTCTCAGTCAGAAGATTAAAGCTGCATAAGAAAACCAATATGATGCTGCTTGTAGATTCTTTCTGAGTGTAGTTTTTGCAACATTTCTCAATCTCTGTATGAAAGGGGCAAGACCTTATTTCAAGAGCAATGGGTAAACACTCAGAAACAAGCAGCTGCATGTAAAACATTCCTCCTTGCTGAAGGCACTCTCCCAGTACCTGTTCAGTTGTAGATATCAATTGTAATAATTCTTTGGGAACAGTTTAATTTTAGTTTTCAAACCACAGTCATACGACCTATAACACCAAAAAAAGAAAACAAATAACCCACTATTTGTTTTACCTACCATTTAAAAAGTGGCAGAAGTTCTCCATAGAATGTGTCTGGCTGGAATGATGCATGTTAATGGTAGGGCTGCCGTGCCAGGCTGCTCAGATAAAAACAGCATGTGAGATGAGCCTCTGATGTATGCTCAGAGAGAGTTCCAGCTCAACATATAGAGAATGTATTCTTTATTGAGAGAAAGAACATTTTGTGTTTTGGGAACTCCAGGCTGATATTGGAAGAGCACAAGCCAGCTCTTCTTCCACATTTGTCTTTCGATGCGTCGCCCAAAAAAAAGCTGAATAGATGGAGTACATGACAGTAGCAATTGTGTGGAAAGCAAAGGGGCTCAAATCCAGGCTGTCAGCCCTATATCAAATTTTTCCATAAACTTCTTGGAGGATTTTTCAGAATGTCATGAAAATAGAGCAGTCCCAGGAAGGTGCCATGTGGTGCTCCAGAGCATTCTCCTTCTATTTGCAAAGAAATATCACAGGAACAGCCTGTTCTCATAGTGGGATGGGAACTAACCCTCTCCATAACATTTTCAGTGCCAAGCAGCAAGCCCCCATCTGTCTGCCAGCAGGAGAAAGAGGAAAACAAATGAAAAATGGAAAAGAGAAGCAACCAGAAATTGGGCATAGGAGAGAAACATCTGCTAAAGGGACAGGAGACCAAAAAAAAACCAAAAAAAAGAGGTTCTGAGAGATCCAGACAAAGAATCATAAAGCAGGTAAAAGAGCATAACCATGTTCCCAAAAAAAAGAGAAAGAGAGGGAGGAAAAAACAGGTGGTGGCCGTAAAAATAAAGGAAATTTTTAGAAAGAAAGGAAGGGAAGCATAAAGCCAGATGTACTGTAGGTACTGTGTTAATATGAAGAGATTTTATGAACAGAATGGCTGAATAACAGTGGGTTCTGACTGCTCTAATATGTGGGCTTAGTCATTTGGTTAGTTCTTAGTTTTTCAGCTTTTGAAATCCATGTCATAAAAAAAACCCCAAAATAAAGATCATTGTATAAAAGCTATTTTCCATATTTGCACAGGAATTGTGAGGGGGGGAAAGAATCAGTCACTTATGTGCAAACTTCCTGAGTTTTTTGATTGTTCCAGTACAAACAGATGGGCATTCCTGTCTGCCTGGATGAAAAATCTGGGCAACATTTATTTTAAAAATATACTGAAATAAATGAAGAGAATAAAATGGAATTAACTACAAAAATCCCTAATCTTCAGAGAGATACACACAAGTAGCTGCCACAGATTGAATGATCCAGCAAGATGATTCAGTAATAAAAATGCTGTGATTGACTGTTAGTCCTGAACACTTCAGATTTAGAAATTGGGCTTCTTGGAATTACCTTAAAAACACTCATGCATGAAAAATGTAAATAACATCTGATTTTTGGGTTGTTTTTTTTTGAGATAGCTACACTTTGAGCACCTAGATGTCATTCTTTGGAGCATTTTCTCAAATTTTTAACTTTTTAAGTGTAACAAATGTAAGGCTTTGTGTCTGTAAACAACTTTTCTGCCTTGGTTTCACTAAACCCCAAACAAGACACAATAATTCCTTGTTACTTCACGTGTGCTGCCATGAGAGTGATTAAATAAATGCTTTCCCAAGGCATTGCAAAGTGTCATTCAGCTGTTGCAGGTTTCCATCCTTGATACCCAAACACAACAGGTAACAGCCATGAACTGAGATTTTCCTGCAGCACCTTCCTGTAATACTCTTTATTCTGTGTATTTAATTTTCTGACTCCGTCAGCATTCAGGGGAATGCTTATCTTAGCTACTACAACATTGTTGTTTTGTTTTTATATTTTACCAGAATTCTAAGCTCTTAATAAAACTCTGAGGTTCAATGCCAGCTTCCAGTACTTTTTAGCATTTTATCACAGATGCTCATTATAATATTAAAAGTACTCCCAATTTGTGGCCAGTCTTGAACAAGTAGAAATGTATCAAGGGTTTAGAAAATGAGAAGGGAAAAAAATAGATTTTCTACACTTTGATCTTTCCTGTTCTGTTGTCTCATGCAAATTATTTTACCTCTTAGTGATGCTTTCCTGGTGGTGTATCAGAGATAATTCACAGAAGAAAATATACCTGCCTCAAAATACAGCAGGAGCATTTCCAAAAAGATTTCTAGATATGTATAGCCTTTGATGTTTATTAGTCTCACTGCATACTTAAAATTCAAATCAAGGCATCAGAAAACCCTTGAGACAAATGCATAATTCATATTTCCTATTTACTGTACTTTTTCTATGTATTATATCAGCTTTTATTGATTTCTGTTCATGGAATATTCACAAAATAATAAAATTCTCAATATTATTATATATTCTAACTTTTTATCTCATTAATTTCTTCAGAGCTGACTTCTAAAAAGATGATAACAATGTCATTATATATTTACCTTAACTAGTGTTATGCTGGCCATTTTTTAGATTAGTAGTTTACCAGGGGTTGTGGGACTTTTTGGAACACACACCAGCATATTTGTCCAATTATTTTCAGGATGTCTTTCCTACTCACCAGAAACAAAGCTGATCATTTTTTCTCACTGTACAACTGCATCATCAATAGGGAATGTATATTTCCCATTCATTTCTGATGGAAGAAATTATTTAAATGCTTGCTGTGGAGGAAGCTCTTGTTATTTTAGATTTGTCTGTGTGTTTTTTTCACCTGTCACAGGTTGGTGTGGCACTTCTCATTGAGATGTTTCTACAGCTGATGACAAAAATATTTTACAAAATTTTTATATTTTACATGCTGTCAGCATGACTGAACCTGGTACTCTGAGATCAGCTGCACCTCAAAGAGCAGCTACCCTGTGTGTAGAGGGTGCTGAAGGGAAATTGAATTGAATAGAAAGGGAGTAAAAAAGGGGCCTAAAAAGTAAAATTTCAGACAGTGTTCTGAAAGCCTTTTTTGGAAAAAAAAAATTAAATCCCTGTATAAACCTGGGAATAAGAAAAAGCCTTCAACCTTTACCTTCAGGACATCAGCAAAATCTATTCTGTGGCTCAAATCCAGCTTTACAGAGCCCAGCTTAAAAACATTGACTTATTATCTGTTATATAGATATATACACTATAATAACAAAATTTTACTCATTATGAAGTAACATTAAATTCATCACAGAACTAGAAGACTTAATACAAATAGTACTTGTAGTGAGGGCTGATGGAATTAGAATTGTTGTCAACCAAAATCTTCCTGCTTTTCCATATGAAAACACGTGAGAAGCAGTTTTCAGAAAGAATTTGGAATCCTAATTTCTGAAATATACCTAGAATATAAATAGGCTCACAGTTTGAGTTTCTTATGCACCCATTCTGTGGTGGGAAGTACCTCTGGCCTTGATTTTTGGAGTATTACGATGCTTTTTATAACTCACATAAGAAGATTAAGAAAACAAAGATACATAAGCTGCAGAACAAGGACTTGCAGCAGCACCCTGTGAAATTAAAAGACATTAAAAAATTGGAAAGAAAATCAAAATCATCTAAGAATGGGCCACCTCTCAACCATCCTAAGAGTAGTAAATATGGTATAAGTTGTGCTTAAACCAGCATTTGCTGAGAGAACATTAGTCCAGGTAGAAGCTGTTACTCCTTTCACATTATCTGTTGGATTACAATAAGATCATTACTGCTGACCAGTTCCCTATTTTTTATTTATAGGCCATTTAAAAAGTGAGGAAAGCCCTGAAGCATAATGATTTCCTATTATAGAAACAACAATACATTGAGATTTTTTTCATCTAAATGTGTCTGTATATGGAGGGGAGGGAGATGGAGGGAAGCAGACCCTGTGTTTTCAATGTTTTGAATTTCAGGGAAACTATTTTTGAAACGAGTTAGCCCACAGAATGTCCAATATGAAACAAAAAGAAGATTATTGAACCTATTTTTCTGTGGTATAGCTTCCTAAAAGATAACACGCCTGTTGGAGACAGGATTTAAACTTAGTTCAGTCACAACTTCTGGAATAAGGACAAAATAGAAGATAAAATGTAGTAAGATTTTCAAATTATTTCAGCAATCCACAAAACCCCCAGAATTTGTTGTACCATCACTGCTCACAAATGTTCACTGCAAGACCTTCCTTAGACAGTGATATCTCAAATGCAACAGAGAAGAAAATAAAAATGCAGCAAACTGCAGTGCATAATGCCTCAGGGCTTTCTGCTAGCTCTGCCAGGGAGTCTCTGCATTCATCACACGCTGAAAGAAAATTTTAGGGAGTATCTAAGGAAAGAAACCTCTTTGAACTGCATTTTTATGCATCACTTTGACCTCATAACCTGGTTTGTAGCTATCAGCTCGTTAGAGATGGGACCACATGTCAGAGTAATTGGCAATTTTAACATTTCACGTCCAGAGGGACAAATGTGCAACGAAGAGTGGGGAGTGCTGCAGCTCAGTTTTACCTTGCACACCAAAAACTAGACTTGTTTTTGTAACTGCACTCATCCAAATACAGCCAGAGGTTGCCTGTCATGGTTTTCAGAGCAGTGCTGCCTCAAAGGGTACAGCGGATAGGCACGAGGATGTTCCCTGTCTCATAACCAGCCCTCGTTACTCATGGTTTACTTCCAGCCTTAGTTACCAGATGTGAGCCATTCTCATCAAGTCCCATAAAAGCAACTGCAGGATTTTAGAAGATTTTAATTTTATAAAATTGCCCATTTTCAAAGAGAACTTTCAACAGCCATGGCTAAAATGGCAGCGTCTGTATCGACAAATTCAGTCAGAAAAAAAAGAGAAAAAGCCTCATTTCAAATCATAGCCAGCTTATTTATCACACTCAAGCTGCCAAGTATGGCAGTGCAAAATCTGTCAGTTTTTAAATGCTGCTTACTGCATATTCAAAGCCTCTTCAAAGAATATTTCCTTGGGTTACATCACATGCAGCCACCCACAGCTCCCCACGTCCTGCTGACAC